CTTATGGGTACCCGGGATCCTGCCCGTCGGGGAGTGGTGAGAAAGGTCGAGCGGAGGCATTTGCGGAGCAGGCGCCGTGCCGTGGCTCTGGCCGCAGATCCGGCAGCCAGTGCTCGTGCAGAATTAGGGTGTGGAATTTTGAAATCTGTCTTCTTGCGTTCACGCCAGTAAACTCAACTGCATGAAACTGGATGGAGAACAGACTGCCGACTGTGTCGAGTCCAGGGAGTGCTGGCTTCGAACCTTCCAGTGTGTTGAAGGCAATTATAAAGCTGGTGGTGGCCTCAGGCTCGTTGCACCCCCTTCACTCTGGATGCAGGGCTGTTGCAGGGACCGCTGGCTGGGAGCTGGTTCCCTGCAGATTGCTTGGTGGTGGGTCCTGCCTTCCCCGAGCAGGCTGGGGGGCGGTGGGCAGAGAGCTTTGCAGGGAGAAGCTGGTGGGGATCGAGAGCCGAGAAGGGCCCCGGCAGTGCCCGGCTGCGAGGGGCAGAGGGGCTGGGGCAGTCCCCGCAGGGATGTGGTAGCGGGTTGCAGGCACTACAGCGGATAAAAGGGGCTGCATCTGCCTCCTGACGCTTTCCTTCTGTGCTGAAATATGCCACATGGTGCTGCAGCTCTCCAGCCTGAATTTCTGGCTCGCTGACTATTTCTGCTATATGCCGAGTCCCTAAACATCTGCAGCGTTCAAGCCTCATGCGGAGGGAATGGCGCAGGCTACGCGGGGCCAGGTCATTCCTGGAAGGGCTGAGAGCTCAGCCAGCTCCCGAGACAGACAGGGTGACAGCTCTGCCCTGGCCCCCACCCTCCCTGCGACATTGCCGGGACGGCTGCCAGGTCGCCAGAGCTGAGCATCACTCTGTGAGAGGAGGGAGTTGAGCACCCAGATCGCAGCGTGTCCTGGCTGGAATATCATGTCCCAGCTGCCTCCTCCCCTCTGCAACAGGTCAAATGTGGACCTCAGCCCCCCCACCGCTCTCCTGAGCCTTGTGGGTGTTAAAATCCAGGTCTGAGTTTTGGAGCAGAGGCAAAATCCCGTGGAACGGTCTGGGACAGGGGGGGGGGAAAGCCACGTGCAAGGAGCGATGTGACTGGGAAAGGAACGGCGTGCTGCGGGGCCAGGGAGGGGGCTGCACGTAGAGCAGCTCCCTGTCACGAATTTGTCCGTTCTCTGCAGCCCGCCGTGAAATCTGAACTCTTACAACACAGAAGCACGCACGTACACCCCCAAAGGGGACTTGCTGCAGCACTGCTGAGCTGAATATCTGGCAGCATTGGGGCCCCGTTGCTCTTCCCCCTGTTCCTCCCTTCCCCCAGCAAGATTCCAGAGCTCTGATTGAAAACAGCAGGCATGTGAGGCTTGTAGGGTTAAACAGAGCCAGATGGGAGCAGAGCGAGACAAAAAGGAAAGTAATGGGCTGGGCCTGGAGGGAGGGCAAGAACAGGATCTTTTCTTGGAGAAAGTCCATGACTTGGAGCTCCAGGAATGTGTGGGATCGCTTCAAAGGGAGCCGGGCTGGGGCAATGCTGGGAACGGTGGCCCATCGAGGGGCTCTAAGGGCATCCCCGGGTGGGATGCGGACCTGGTGGGAAGCTGTAAGCAATAGTGGGGTTGCTCTGGCCAGAGGCTGCCCTGGCAGTGTTGGGCTGTGCTGCTTGCTGGATGGGTGAGGCTGGGGACGCTTCTCTGCTGCTGCTGGAAGGTAACGGCGATGCGCCAGCCTCAGCCCTGCCTGTTTGCAGCTCCCCCAGAGCAGGCTGAGCAGGGCTGGCTGTGCCCCCGCTGCCGATGAGCCCCCAGGCACAACAGCAGTGCTGCGCACCAGCGAGCTGCAAGCTCCACTCCGTCGTGTTGCAAGGGAGAAAGCAATGAGCCAGGAGAGCCTTCAGCATCACCAGCTTCAGCTTCTGCCCCACACTCCTGTCCCAGCAGCACTGGCTTCCGCAGCAGATGCTCCATTTCCCCAGGACATCCATCTTCCTTCGAGTCTCCTTGTCTTCCTCCCTGTCTCGTCTCACTTGATTCTCTTTCCCACTCTGCCTCTGCCAAGCTCCTCCATCTGCCTCGCCGTGCATCCAGCTTGCCTCTCTTCCTGCTGGGGTGACGAATGCCACCGGGAAAAGCCTGGCGAGCACCCCGAGGTATCTGGCCAGGAAAAGCCCACAGCCTGGCCTGCTCCACCTAGCCCCGGGGAGTGTCAGAGCATCCGAAGCACCTTCTGCATGGGGCTTTCTGGGGAGCTCATCTGCAACAAGCTGGATCCCTTCACCATCCGAGGCATCAGCTGGAGAGCTACCAGCACTTGCTGCTGTTCCAGGCAGCAGCAGGGAGGGCAGAGATGGGACAGGCACCTTCATGGGCTTGATAATGACTTAGAGAAGAAGGAGAGGTGGTATGTGTAAGGTGTTGGGCTGATGTACAGGAGAAGCTCTCTGGCTAGGGGCAAGCAGAGACCTTGCCTGATCCCTCCAGATCTCCCACTTCTGCTGGGGGTCTCCCTAAATAACCATCCCAGCACCCTGCAGTGGTGCTGGAGGTGGTGGGTCAGTTATTTGGGCAGCACAGGGAGCTGTATAGCCAAACACCTTCAGCATTGCCCACACGTAGTCTTGTAAATGTCCTTTTTATCAAATGGCCTTGAAAATGGGCTGTCCTGCGTTAAAGCCTTGTCCCTGAAGCACAGGGCCATCCGTCTTTGCTGCCCCGCTAACTGCCGCTGGCCTCCCAATACTGTTGCTCAGCCAATTTGGTACTGAATCATTGATTTTTTGGCTCAAGTGCAAAATTAAGGCTAATCCATCAAGGCCTCTGAAGGGGCAATCTGTCCTTCGGGGAGAGCGCACAGTGCTGTCGGGGGCCCAGCTCTGCAGGACAATGCTGGGGGTGGTGTGGAAAAAAACCCCAAACCAAATAAACAACAACAAAAAGCCAAAACAACCCCTCTCATGGCGTAAAGCTGAGCCAGAGAGAGGGGATCTTGGTGACTCATGCTCTAGAGAGGGGTTGGATTTAAAGATAACTTCCAAGGGGAAGGAGAGAAAATAGCAGGTTACTGTCAGGGATGTGGGGTAGATTCCTGCCTGGTGGTGATGGGGGAGATGGGACATGATGCAGTACCTGAATCATGTGCTTCCTAACGCACCTCCTCTTGTTGCCTCCCTCAGGGAAACATCTGGACCATGAAGGTGGCCTTCAGATTGCTTCTCCCGCTTGTTCTTGTGCTGATCTCGGAGGTGAGCGGGCAGCGGAGGAAGCCTCCCCGGAAACCCACCCGTCCGCCTCCCGAGTTTGTCGAGCCCGTCGAGCCCACAGAGCTGCCTCCACCCCTGCCGCCGGGTCCCCCCTCCCTCTTTC